CATCGACCTAATAAGTCGTATCAAAGCCAATTATTTGGATGGGTCAAGCACAACATGTGATGAATGCCTAGTAAATATCTTATGGAAAGGAATTTAAAATGTGATTTCCCGATCGAGGTGGCAAATAGCGTTATGCGAAAGAAGTCATAGAGGGGGAGATTAGAAATCATACCCCAATGACACATATAGCTCACAGAGGGGGAGATTTGTTGATGTTCACTTGTGATAGTGTTATGCGAAAGAAGTCTAACATCGAAGATGCGATGTAAAATGGAGTATTTAATATATCTTAATTGGTTAATAACTCATTGACTTAAGTTTTTTAGGAAAAGTAAGTCTAACCAAAGACATTGATGGGCTAGGACTTGTGCTCTTCCTTGGCGATCTCCCCCAAATAAAGGTATTGAGCTTCTGCTATGTCGGCTCAACACAAAATAATAAGAAGTCCGTTACACTTCCAGCCAATACATACCTTAGCTTTCAGGCTCCATTTGTTTCGCGAAAAACAAAGAATTTGTAAAATATTTTCCTAAAAAGGATGGTTTATGTCGCTTACCAAAATGAACAAATTGAAAATATTTTCATCATCTACGAGAATGTTTGCACATAAAGTATTGTCAATAATGAAAACAAATTTTCATTGAATAATCATTTCAAGCGATACAAGCTATCATTTTTAGAAAATTATTTATTTTTCGCAAAATAAATCGAGTATTAAAATGTTATGATTTCTTGGTCCCACGCCCGAAATTTAACAAACTCGAATCACTAACATTTTGTGGACAGTAGTGGGACGGTTCTTGGTGGGTTCTTGATCTTTGCTGCTTTTTTTTTTGTGCCATCTGTGATTCTCTTTTAGGGAATTTGGGGCAAAGAATTCAATTCAAAGCATAACATGTGACATCATTTGGTTGCCCATCAATCATAGAAGTCGGTGCTTTTTCTTTTTGGAAAAATCTCATCCATGAGAGGGTCCATCCAGCCACACATCCTAACATTTTTTTTTATCAGTCGCGATTATTTCCAGCACAATAATTAAAATTATTTTTGAAAAGCTAATTCTTTTTTTCACAAAAAGGACCATCGACGATAGTTAAACTTTCACCACACAAAAATTATTCGAACCTCCTCCTCTTTTGGTAACATGTGCCAATCTATTTTATCATAGTTGAATCAATCTTTATATGAATTTGAAAGCGAATTATTTCATACAAATTTCCCAAAAAAAGAACTATGTATTTCTAAAATGAGCGCGATGTGTTGTTCCATTGTTCTACCTACAACTTTTACGTGAGGGATTATGTTGATTTTCTTTTTCTTTCAATGTCAAAGTGCCGACGCAAACCCATTCATCTCGCAAAAGCTCTTCCATCTTTTGAAGCTCTCCTGTAGGCTTTCACCTTTAATTTCTGAAGCTGAGAGCCTAATTGGCCTTTGATTTTCTTTTTATTTGTTTGATTGTCTTTTCTTTTCTCTCACGCTCTGTTTTAAGAGATTGTGTGTGAGAATAAATTTCTGCAGCTGATCTTAGGTAAATGTGGAGTCCATTTCAGCCATTCGTCTCGTCGACAGCCATCGAGGAAGATGTCCGTGATGTGGCTCCACAAACTCTCTAAGATTAGGCTGCTCTTCTCTCCCGATTTAGATTTAGGTCTAGATCTGAAAGTTTTACTCTTTCAATTTAGATTTAGATTTAGATTTGAGAGTTCCTTACAGGTATTTGATTTGTATTCTTTCAACACATTAACGTTGGTGTCTCTGCACGGCGATGGTTATAAGAATGTTGAACCTAGACGCGCACTACAAGCCGTTGCAAATTGAGTGGGGGATCTCGGCGTGTGCTCATCACTGAATCTGGTGATCGGCCGCCGAACGTTTACGGTGGCAAATCTGTAATTGAAGGATGAGAGTGTGCTTTTAGATGTAAATTGTGTTTTGTGCTTTGTTATTTGCGTTCTAGTATTTGCTTTGTTCCACAATTGTTTGGAATTTACTAGGCTTGTATGTACCTCTCAGATATTATTCTGATGAATGGAAGCTTTCTTTCCACCGCAAAAAAATTGCTAAATAATTAATGTTACCTTTATTTAACATCTAATCTAATTATTTCCGTTAATGTTTTCTTTAAACTTTTGTGAAAGTTTATTTTATAAATAAAAGAGAATGAATACCGGAGAATTCAAAAGTATTGTGATTTAAAATCGACCAGATATGCAAGAACACTTCAAAATGCTTTACATTTCGAAAATGGAAGATTCCAATTTTTTGTGCCAAATAAATTCAATAAAAAAAGGTATGTGTATGTCCTGAAGTATTACAGCAGCAACAGAACTTACACAAATGCAGTAAGATCTTTCCATTTTGATACTATAAACTGGATATTTCAACTTTGAATTTTCTTAATTTAGGTTTTCGTCACCAACAACCACATCATGCTTAACGTGATATGTACCAAAGATAGACCCTTTCAATTTCCCCATGATATGTACCACAGTTCCGAATAATAGGAAGATCTCAACAATCACATCATGCTTAACGTGAGCAATTCGATCTCGGGATCTGTACCATATTTCAACTCATATCAAAATTGCGCCCTTCATATTTTCGTGCATAGCCAATTTTCAACTCGACTTTGGAGAAGCGAATCGCCAAAAGAACAAGGAACTTGAGTGAGGTCTTGTCCTGTACTAGCGAGTCTGAGATTGTCCCCTTAACATGGTACTGAAACGCCTAGTTGATTTTGCCATGCACCCACCACGCACTATGCACAGCATAGGCTCAAAGTTCAACATTAGCAGTTCCTCGTGCTGAAAACCTAGTGCTCATCTTTGTAAAATACTATAAAAAAAAATTTCAATGTCTGCCACTTTTGATTGATTTTATCCTTGTGGTCGGTACTAATTCAAGAGAGAGATTTGGCCGTAATCAATGTCCGCAGATGAATCCGTATTCTGCTCCGTGGCTATAAATTCCTGAAAGTTGACCTCACTTTTTATCAAAGTACTCCGAATCTTTTAGAAAACCTTCGTGAAAGACCACTACTCTCAAAAGTCTCTCATCTTTAGCTTCCCGCATTTGAAGGGGGGATTTGGACAGGCGTGGGGAGTACGATGAATGCTTGAAAATGTCAAGATGAAGCGAGAAGAAAGAAGCAACAAAGAAGAAGGGCAGGGTTGAAATTGAATTAGATCAAGTTGCCGGCTTATCTTTTCTACTTGCTATCCATAGTTCGTTTCTCGACCTTTGAAAAGTTTGGACGACGTGGTTTCTATTTCGTAGATCAAGAAAGGTCCGTCTTAAAGATAAGACGCGAGTTAAATTCCGATTAAGGGATCGAAAATGTTGACTTGTATGAGTTTGGTAGTGCCAGGAATCGAGACTATTATTATTGTAGTATCACAACGAAAAGTCTGATTTATTTCTTATTTTCTCTTGCCGTGACCCATTGAAATGCATGAAAAGACTTATCTAATCATATAAATTTCCGCTCACGGGAACGATGGAAAGATCCAAAGGACAGGTAAATGTGACCGTACCTGAATTTCGTTGACGTTGGTGGTGGTGGTGGTGGTGGTGGTGGTGCAGCGGCGGAAGTCAACTGCCGCTGCCTCGTCAATTAATACCTGGTCTCTGGTCGCGTCGGCTTTGGAAATTCTTAATTTCCTCAAAATAGATTTCTTTAACTTTCCTACTTCCTTCTTCTTCAATCAACGCTTATCCCACCATGATTTCCGGAGATGAGAAGAAAGTAAAACAACACGGCATTCCGGGACGGCCCCTATATCACGGCCATACTTATCGGGATACACACATGCTTAATCAAACGTTTGATGTTTTGACAATTCAAATTGAATAGTTGTCTGGGACTTTAGACTCCTTCGTGGCCTTCTCCAATTGATGGAGCTCTTTCTTTCTTCAATGGAAACGCGGACAAGCACTTCAATCCTCGTCATGGGGCTTATCTGTACAAGGACGGCTTATCTTGTACAAGGACTTGTGAGCCTGTATGGGCAACAAACGGCCTATGCACCACCACATGCTCACGGCCTTCGCCTGAGTCAACAAACGTCATGGAGATGGCGGAAAACTACTTCGTGAATAATAATGTTCACACCATTGATCATGACGACAAAGAATGATGGCCCTTCATCACGGGGATAAGGATGATGTTTATGTATTATGCCCAACCTCATCCGAGATATGTAAAAACGTGATTTTCTGCATAATTTTATCTATAGCCTTATAGTTGTGCCCCGAAAGTGCCTTCAGCAACATTCGATTGACCAAATCACTCATCATAACCTGATCAGCATAGGAATCTTCTCTTGTATTTCTACGGCCATTACCGTGAAACAGAAACTGGATCGATGAGAGCGAAGCCTTGTCAATTGCCCACGGTGGTCCCCGCCAAGAGATCTCGACGGTTTTAAGCTAGGATATGGTAATGTGCTCGGTGAGACAAAGTGAAACTCTCTACAAGTGAGGACCTCTTTGGTCAGCTGCGTCTCCGTGAGTTCCACAATTTAGACAGTGGACACTCACTAGGGAATGGCATAGACACCGCGACTGTGCAGACTCGCGGTTGAAGCCGGCACCTCCGGACGGTCAAACAGCTCCAGGAATATGATCAATACAGATTGCTGCAAAATGGGCATGTGAAGGGTACCCTTGACAGTAAGTGCAAACCAAAACCAAGAATTATGTCCTTCTCACCAAAGCTTCACTTAAGACCTTGTCCTTTACGTTACTCTCTAGCCTCTATGCTCATGAATAACCGCGACAAACTCAATTCGGATATTGGGATATTGATGTTCTTCAATTACAAGAAGGAATAGTGAGGTGCAACTAAAACCAAGTGTACATATTCACTCAATTTTATTAGCCGACTTAGCTGGTGACGGCAATAGCACAACTTAAAAGGGAAGTTAATCGATGGGGCAAAGAAGCGATATCTCTATCTAGTCCCGAACCTGTGGCCCTGTGGGATAATATGTTTAACAGAACATTGAATGGATGAAGACATCCTCTATTAATCCACCGCTGAAACTCCACCCAACTCTCCCCGTAAACATCAACTATAAAGGAGCCATCCTCTTCCGGTCCTCGTCAACCAAGCGTCGGACGTGAAGTCCCCCCAAGACTCCAAGGATGTCGATATGAAAAAGCCCGACTGTATCCTTGGCCCAGATGGAAGTATCATTTGCCCTAAGGGACAAAGGAAGCGAAGGAGGAGGCAAAAAACTTAAATGCCGAGGCGTAGGCCTCGGGTTGGTACCACCGTCATATGAAGATGCTAATATTGGTGGAGCTGATGGAACACCTCGCAGTTACATTCCCGGCAATGACGACACGTTCATCCCCAATCCGGGTTATGAAGTGCTGATTGGTGGCGGAAATTTCGCAGATCCTTGAGTTCGTTCAAATATCGAAGCTCGAGTTTACTAGCTGCAGAAAGTAACTTGAGGTAAATTTGGGCATCCTTTTACGCAACCTTTGAATAACATCAAAGCAAGACCAGCTAGTTTGCGGTCACCAAATATGTTCATGTGATGGGAGTGCGGTCACCAAATAGTTATCTTTGATATTGATTTCAGAAGGAAAAAAAGAATAAGAAAAAGAAAAGAGCGAGTGTTTCTTTGCCCTGTCGGCACAAGAAATAAAGTGCCTAGCACTGTTTCATCAATGGACCTCCCCATATCTGTCTCATCCCGACGGCTTATTCAAAATTTTAAGCACAACCAAGACATCCACTTGACAAATACCTCTCAAATGTTTGCAAAAGAGGTAAATTCCACTTCTTATATCACTTGCTAACTTACAGCACCACGCACACGAGAAAACTATTACGAACAACTTTAACAAGACTTTCCAATCATAAGAGGGAGCAACGAATTTGGAAAATAGAGTATACGAACAAACAGCCTCTGTTTATATCGTCAGAAGTCCATATATACAGCAGTATGATGCAGAGGTCAATCAACTCTTCATCAGATTTCAGGACACAAAATTCTGGAACCATGTTTCACTGAGAATAAACCTCAGCAGCTGAACTTAATCAACACGATGAATGCTGCAGATAATACACGACAGAACCACCACCAATGAACTTACATAAAAGATATAAAGGCCGAAAGTGCAATGATTGGTTATTCTTGCGTATTTCCATAGATTTTTGCACCTAGCCAACAACATGAAAACTCTTTATGCCTTTAGTGTACGTGTGCAGATTCCATTGACACCTTGAAGCACATATCCACGTGGTATAGTTGATGTACATTACTTACGAAGTATGCAGGTGAGCCAAGATACAATACCCGCGGACCGTATGCAGAAGCTCTAGGATTCAACTTCGTCCTTGACTCAATTTCTGAAGAATGTTCAAACGTGTTATGAGGTTCTTGAGTTTCACCAGTCTACTTCCAATCTATTCCTGAGAAAGGTCACCCAAGTCCCAAGCACATAAGTCTACCAAATACAAACTGCAGTATGGCAAAGACATTGCTCTTTAGACCATTAGATGAATAACAATTATAACATTGTGAATACTACAACCAGTCATTGGATGGCTCGGGTTCATTAAGCTCTCCCACTATCTAATTCTACAGAAGTCAATATTGTCATCAGGCTGGGTAGATATCACCGTGTTTCACAGGAATCAAGTTTCTTACGAGACTATGGAGTAACATAGCTGTGTCTCGCACCTTAAATTAACTGCTTCATGGAGAACCAGAATTCGACTCCGATGTCTCAGATATTCTTGCTTCTGATTTCTCATTTGAGTAACTACATAAAAGAGAGAAGCGTTAGAGCAGGAAAGAGAGAAAATGCAAACATAATATCCTACAATATAGAAAAAATACTCATCAACATCAATAAGACATTGAGTAATACATCAGAGACTCAAAATGGGCGCACATGCTTCCAAACCAAAACTATCCATGGTAACAAGGTCCTTCCAACCACAGAAAACGTGCAAAAGTCTCTCTCCTTGTGATTTGAAAATGCATTAGAGAGAACAAGAACACATGAGAACTTTAAATCCTTCAGACAAATTTATCCACTTATTTAGATTGCTACATTGAGAAGATACTGTTTTAAAGCCTCAAAGGAACATGACATCAAGATCCTTGCTTGCAGCCAGAAAGGTTCTTTTAGAAGAATTCTAAGGAGTGGTAAACCCGTGTTTTTCAACCAAAATTAAGAGAAGGAAAATTAAGGAAAAAAACTCTAACTTTAATACTTACTTGGAGAGAATGGTGACCCAAATAAGCTCTACACAGTCCACCCAAAGAAGTCTCTGTTCAATGGGGATCACGCCATAGGTAATTAAGTGAGCAAATGGCCAGAGCTTCCATCCTGCCTGTCAATCAAACTACAAGAATAAATGGAGCACACAGACATTCATGAAGAGATTATTGTGAAAGACAAATGTAGAATACCATGTATAGCCTAACTATAAAAGAGAGCAATCTAATAGCGCTACTCACAAAGCTATGCATTTTTCTAAACACAACTTAAACTAATTTTTTAAGAATCTATATATAAATGAACTAAACAAGCGATGAAAACCAATCGAATTGAGTAAAGCTGCATCAGTAAAGCACTCAATTATATCCGAATTCTTCTTTGTTAATAAGAGAACTAAGTCCGTCCTCCCCAATAACCTGAGACTAACTTATGAGACTATTTTCTTACTGTTAGCATTGGCAAAAATGTTGCCTTCAGCTCATTGAGAATATTAGGAGGGGATTCCAGTCGCAGAAGCCCCAACATCACAAAATAGATGCTATTCCAAAGTGCTGCCCAGACCGTTTGATCAAACGCGACTTTTGCAGGGACCACCCACCAATCTTCGAAAGGAAAAAGAGCCTGAAGGTCATGCACGCTTTCAGCCGTTGGCATAAATAAAGATACAATGAATGAAAGGAAATGAAGAACGAAACAAGAAGCAAGGCTAAAAATAGACTGTGGATGAGCCAAAACTATCACCTCGCAAAACTGATAATAATAATGAGAAAGTGAACCGTGGAGTGTGAATCCAACAAGACCTGATCTGAACATGCGCAATGGGTCGAACTCGAAAAGAGGCTTTCCTTCATAGCACTACATAGGAACCGACGGTGAGAGGTGGCATAAAAGAACTGATGACCAAGAAAATTCAGCAGCACAGCCAGCCGAAGCATGCATTTACCTGGGCAATCCAATCTCCTATAGAGTACACCACTCCACTTATTGCCATTTTCGCTAAGACTGGATTCATTTTGAGAGCTTCCTCGTAAGCAATCCAATTGTGTTCCGGCGCATATCTCAAAACTTCATAAAGGGTCCATCCCTGCGATATATGCGAACTTCAGAATATTCAAGTCTACCACCACTTCATACTTCCTAATAAAATCAACTCGAAACGCATTACACGAACCCTTCTCTTCATATGACACAAGCTGCAATCATTCAAACAGATGACATGCGCAAATAATCAAAACAAGCCCGACTTTCACGTGAGCCCGCGTAATGAGATTCAGGATTAGCATCAGTATAGTCAGCTCAATTAATAGAGACCCTTTTTGCAGGACAAAGGCAAAGATCGGCTATAAATTTCCCTCGCTTTGAACGGACGAAAGAACACCAAGTATAAACTCAGACAGACACGGTACTTCGCCCAAGCAGAAAAAGCAACCCGATTTCGTCACTCACGTGCCAGTAATCATGATCCACGGTGAGAAGCCTGGTGACGGCAAGAGTCCCAAAACCCAGAACGAGGGTAGCGTTAACCCCTCTGCCGACCAACCTCTCGAGGCCCCCGCTCTCGCCTTTCGCCGCGAGACCAAGCGCCCCCGGCGCCGCGGGTTCCGACGAATCGTCCTCCGCCGTCGAGTCTTCTTCCCTCGCCACGGGAACGTCGGCCGCTTTCCGGTCCTCGGCGACCGACCCGGCGGCGACCCGGTTTCTGTTCGGCCCGGCGGAGAAGAGCGGACGCACCGAGGGCCGGGATCTCGAGCCCGCGGGGATGGGATCGGGGAGGGAAGTTCGACGTCGACGGTGGGATTTGGCGAGGAGGGAGAGGTCGCGAGGAGGGAAGAAGCTGCCGATCGTCGCCATTGGAGCTGAGGCTAAGAAGCTGTGGAACTGGTTTCGCGCTCCTCTTCTTCTTCTTCTGCTTCTTCTTCTTCCTCTGGTTTCTACATTCGTCGCGCTCGATCGTCCACGGAGGTTCCGTTTAGGCCTCCGCTTGCAAATTAGCCACGAGCTCCTTTTGCTGACTTTCCTCCTCGTACGGAGACCGACGTCATTTTACCATTTTAGTGGAGATAACGACACAAACAACTAGGGGTGTGCAAAAAGCCCAGGACCGCTCGGGATCGCCCGGGACCGGATCGGAACCTGTGGTTCCAAGGGGACCGGTCCGGTTTCCGGTTCCAATTTTTTGGAACCGGTGGGTATCGGTCCGGTTCCCGGTTCCCGGTGTGGAACCCCCCACCCGGACCGGACCGGTAATATAATAATAATATATTTATTTTTTAAAATTTTAATTTAAAAAATCTGACCAAAAAAAAATAAAAAATTAAAAGAAATACGTAACTAGACACTCATAACTCTCTGCTCTCTTATCTCTAGAGACTCATTTGATGGGTACCCACTTGATTTATGAATGATGTGGTTAATAGAACCGATCATAGTATAGGAATTGTATGGAAAATTATGTTCTTTTCTTTTTGTTCCGTTGATCCGATGTTGGTCCACATATTTTTTTTTTATTTGTCCAAGAAAACTTGGTGGGACCGGTTCCATGGACCCACCCCGGGAACAGGACCGGACCGGCGGTCCGGTTCCCGGGCGAGTCCATGAAACCGACGGGTGGTCCTCGGTCCCAAAATTGAGGACCAACACTGTGCGGGTTGGTCCTAGGGTTAGGGGGTGGACCGGCCCAACCCGGACCATGCTCACCCCTACAAACAACCTCTGAACTTTAATCTAAATATGCAATTTGATCCCTGAACTTTTAATATGTTCAATGTGATCTTGAACTTTTGATAAATGTTCAATTTAGTCCATGAACTATATGAAAATGTTCAATATAGTTCCTTAGACGGTTCCTGAGCTTTGGCCCAATATACAATGTGATTCATGAACTTTTAATCTGTTCAATGTAATCCCTGAACTTTAGCTTAATATTCAATGTGGTCCCTAAACTTTATGAAAATGTTCAATACAGTCCTTGAATTATATGAAAATATTCAATGTATAGTCCTTCCATTAATTCAAGTTCAGGGACTATATTGAACATTTTCATATGGTTCGGGGACTAAATTGAACATGTACCAAAAGTTTAGATACCACATTAAACGAAGTAAAAGTTCAGAGACCGCATTGAACATTAAGCTAAAATTTAGGGACTGCATTGAACAAATCAAAAATTCGATGACCCCATTGTATATTTAGCCAAAATTCAAGGACTGTTTACTTTATTTTCCCTACGAATAAATCATGGTCAACTCAAGACAATGAGATGGATCGAAAATAGGATGATGTTAATTTGATGAGCAATTAAGGCAATTAAAAGAAGATAAGGTATGTTACGGGAGCATGGATATCACTTTATTCTGAGTAACGAGATGATGATTAACCTGATCAGCCAATTGGTGACGATTTAAATGCACGTCATTTGAAATGCTCCATACATTGGCATGTCTATGTGCAGAATTATCGAGTGAAGTAATACATAAACTTAAACTAGGATTCTACTCGGACGAGACAATTCCAAAGTGTCGTCTAATTTGCTTGAATGGCCTTCTCTTTTGCACATCTAGGCAGAGTAAGTGAACGTTGTTGGCACCAAACGATTCGACAAGTGGGAGTTTTTGGAGACCCTGCTTATATTTCATTCGCGTTTGGACAAGCTCGACCCCCGCACGTAAAGCTCGGTAGTTGTGATTGGTAATTGCAGTATTATTATGATCATTACATTGCTATAATAAAAAAGGCCTCATTGTCATATGCTTTTTAATATATTATATGTTTAAAAACGGTCTAAAAAAGAAAAGCCTCGCAAATCGATTTCGTCGGGTCAAAACAAGCGCCGGCATTTACAAAATTCCGAGGCGAGGTAATTGAGAAGATGGAAATCCGGAAGAGTTTTATTCCACATTGTTTTATCTAAAAGGAGCTATTCTAAGCGTGCATCTCCAATATAAAAAAAAAGTCGTCCAATCCCTTTCGTACTTCATTTCATATTTTTCATTTTATCTATAAAATTTTCACTTTGAGGGATCCAAAAATTGCCCAAGATTTTGCGACTAACTTATATTTCTTAATTTTTTCTTTTTAATTTTTTCGAATTTTGAAGGAGATGTGAGGAGTAAAAAAAACAGAAGAAGAAGAAAAAACAGAAGAGAAGGTCCCACCGAGATTTGAACTCGGGTTACTGGATTCAGAGTCCAATGTCCTGACCACTAGACCATGGGACCTCGTTGGCACTCATCGTGGCGAATTTCGGTATAATGTAAAAGCCAGCTAACGGAAACTATGCCGGAGCTCGTGGAATGCCGGCTAGTGCGACCTTGCGCGGGCCCCCCTCTCGTCCGTCTCCCGTCCCCGTTCACAGAGAACGAGGGCGGGAAGACATTGGCGCTGTCGTGCGCGCCGTGAGAAGCCTCCTCGGACCTTCAATCTCTCTCGGCGCGAGGCTCCCTCCCTTCGGGCAAACGCCCAGTTCGGGAAGGGAAGGGAACGGAACGGCACGTCCGCGGGCAGTAGAACCGGCGAAAGTCGGCTCCGTCTCGGCTCGCGGTCCGAACGCCAGGTGGGTCTTCGCCAACGAGCCTCTTCCTCCTCCCGGATGGCTTGGGGCCCTTCAACGACGTCTCCGACGTAGCCTCCACCCCCGCAGAACCTGATCCCATGTCTCCCTGGGTGAGTCACATTCTCGGTCTCTTAAAGCTGGATGGCTTTTGTCCTAGGTTCTTGATCAAGTTGTCCGCGAATTTCGTGTCTTCTGTGTTGCGGTCTGGCCAGACGTGGCCGTTAGGTTCTTCAGGTGGGCTGCTCAGCAGGGGAGGTACCGACATAGGATTGAGTGTCATGTGTCTTTGATTGAGCTTCTCTTGTTATCTGGGGATGTGGATGGAGTGACGAGTGTCTTTGCGGAGTTGAGGAACTTGGGCTTCTTGATGACGGTACCGGCAGCGAATTCTTTGATCAAGAGCTTAGGCGGTGTTGGGATGGTAGAGGAGTTAGTTGTGGGTGTGGAGGAAGATGAAGGAGAATGGTATCGAGCCGAGTTTGTATACCTACAACTTCTTGTTGTATGGTTTGGTGGATTCGGTGTTTATGGAGTCGGCGGAGCGGGTGTTTGAGCTGATGGAGAATGGGAGGATTGGACCTGATACTGTGAGCTATAATATAAAGGTGAAAGGATATAGCATGGTGGGTAAATCCCAGAAAGTGATGGAGAGACTAAAGGATATGCAAACGAGGAGCGTGGAGCTGAATAAGATCAAATATTTGACTTTGATTCAGGCATGTTATGGTGAAGGGGATTTCAATTCTTGTTTGGGACTTTACCATGAGATGGAAGAGAAAGGTTTAGAAATCCCTCCTCATGCGTATGGTTTGGTCATAAGCGGGCTTTCCAAGGAGGGAAAATATATGGAAGCATATGCAGTTTATCTGAGCATGATTAGAAATGGTTATAAAGCCAATGTGGCAATCTACACAGTTTTAATTGATCCATATGCAAAATGCAGGAGCATAGAAGCTCCTAGACAGAATGAAGATTGAAGGGTTTCACCCGGATAAGGTCACGTTTGGGGCTATCAATGGCCTGTGCAAAAATGGCAGGCTGGAAGAAGCACTTGCATACTTTGAGCACTGTCAGAATAGTAGGGTGGCAGTTAATGCGATGATATATTCTAGTATTGATGGTCTAGGGAAGGCAGGGCGAGTGGATGAAGCTGAGAAATTTTTTGAGGAAATGGCTGAGCAGGGATGTTCATGGTCTTATTGCTATAATGCCCTGATGGACGCATTTACAAAGTGTGGTAAAATGGATGAAGCATTGGCTCTCTTCAGGAAAACAGAAGCCGAAGGTTGTGATCAAATATATTACATATTCACAATACTCACTGCTGGCCTTTTTACAGAGCACCAAAATGAGGAGGCTTTGAGATTGTGGGATGTGATGATTCACAAAGGGCCCCAAATGCAGATCTATCAGGGCTCTATGTGCTGGACTTTGTCTCTCGGGCAAAGTGGCTAGAGCTTGTAAAATCTTGGATGATTTATTGCCAATTGGTATCATTCCCAATTCAGCTGTCGAAAATATGATCAATGTATTGTGCAAAGCTGGCTGTATTAAGGAAGCTTGCAAATTGGTAGGTGGAATTGTCAATAGCGGTCGTGAAATACTAGGAAAAATACGGACTGTTCTTATTAATGCCCAGAGAAGGGCAGGGAACGCAGATTTAGCCTTGATGTTGATGCACAGCAAGATTGCTGTTGGCTATGACTGAGTCGGCAGTGTCAAAAAAAGAGTGAAATTCCGGTCTCTTGTTGACGGTTGAGTGTTAGGAAATTCTCTTGTTGTCAATTCTGCTGTGTTTCTGTGCAATGGACTGGGTAAGATTGTGGAAGAGCTGGAAAATCCTGGGTTCACTCTTACGTTCTAGTTGTGAAATCAGAGTCTGTCAGAAGCCTGGTTCTATTGATTCTGTACTGGCAATAGGAATAGAGAAACTTGATTGACTACCTTAAGCTCCTTGGTGCCTATGATTCTGCGAAGATGTTTCAAGTGCATCAAAACCTCCAATTCCAGGTCTGTGCCTTGCTTTATGTTATATCCATTCCTATCTTAACTATGATTGCAATCGGACTAGTTGCATCTATGGTTGGAAGCAGATGAGTTGGATGGTATTTGTTACTTGACGTTTAATGTGGCTGATTAGTTGCTGTAAGTCTGTAGCAGATACACAACACTAAGGTCATCTGCATCTGATCAGAATCTTACTATTTTTTATGTTTTTTGGCCATCTACTGTAGAGAAAAGCAACTCTAAAAAGAGCTTCTGCATTGCCATAACATGGATTAGAAATGTTGCTGTTAGTATTGTTTGAATCCTTCCATCAGATTGGTCGAGTCTTTCTTTGGATTTTGCCATTTCTTCATTATAGATTAAGATCTTCTTCAGAGCAAAAGATTGAACAGCTATTCTGTCACATTACATGGGGCATTATTGTGATATAGTTTAACATTTCAAGTTATTCTAGTCCAATTTTTTTTATCAGAGTAGTAGCTACTACTTGTTCC